GAGCTGCTGCTGCTCTCAGTAACAGAATGTACATATTGTAGTTTTCATGCTGATAGACTAATAAATATTTAGCCAGATGAGAGTATGAGAGCAGAATGTGCCAGTGTTTGCTCTTTCCCCTTCCCAGACTGGCTCTTGTTGGCTGGTGCCTTCAGCCATCCGTGTTGAACAGACTGATTCGTGGAGCTGGCCTAATGCCTGTGAGTTTGTTGAGATGTCTGTGAGCACTGTAAAAGGCACTTCTTGCTGTAATTCAGAGAATCTCAGCCTGTTTTGGGTTGGAAGGGACCTTAAAGCTCCTCCAGTTCCACCCCCTGCCCCGGGCAGGGACACCTTCCACTAGAGCAGGTTGCTCCAAGCCCCTGTGTCCAACCTGGCCTTGAACACTGCCAGGGATGGGGTAGCCACAGCTTCTCTGGGCACCCTGTGCCAGCGCCTCAGCACCCTCACAGGGAAGAACTTCTGCCTCAGAGCTCATCTCAATCTCCCCTCTGGCAGGTTAAAGCCATTCCCCTTGTCCTGTCCCCACAGGCCCTTCTCCAAAGCCCCTCATTTGAGATCCATCCTCCTTCCCACTGCCCTTCCATCGCTTAAATTTGCTTACAACAAGCAGAATGGGCTGGTGTGAAGTTTGCTGCTGTTCCTGTGCTAGGGCTTCAGATCCCGAGTCTAATTGCTGAAGTGAGCAGTGTTGACACAGTGAACTGAACACTTCTTTCTGCAGATGGGTGCCAGGATAACTGCTCCTTAGCAGATCCCTGGCAGTGCTGAGCAGCATTCCCTGGCTAACACAGAATGCAACATGCGCTTTTGTCAGCATGAAGAGGCTGCATGTCCCGCTGCTGCAGCACGAAACTGCTGTTTGTGCTGTTGTGAGTGGGAAGTGGCTGCGTGGGAATCATTTGGGATACCAGAAGGACACAGGATTCCTTTCTAACATGCCAGGGCTGATACACTTTCTCCACTTCCTCGGCAAGATTTAGTAGGGAATGTGATGGTAGGACCTCAGTTGAGAAAACAAACAGCACTTGGTATGATGGAATGAACTGAATCAACAGTTGCAATTAGTTCCACACTTCTTTATTAAGTTCCTCCATGTGTGCCACACAGACATCCACGTTTCACACTGAAATGCAGTGGGGTGGAACCCAGCAGCTGGTTTACAGCCCCAGGCACACTCCTGAACAGCACACACAGCACCAACACAGTGCAAGAAATGGATTAAGATGCTGCTGCCAGTCAAAACTGCAGGGAGGCTGGTGGGTGAAATGCAATTACCAGGCTGGCTCCTGGCCAGGGAGCTGGGGTTAACACTGCTTTTCTCACGGAAACACAGGGAGAAGGCTGGATTGTGGCAGCCCAATAGTGCATTATCAGCTCCATTCAAAGTGATGTAATATTGGAGTGGTTTGCTCTTACCATAGCTTGTCAAAGACAAGGATACATTACCTCAAAGCTGATAGGTACGTAATGTAAACCATTACGTATCCTCCTGGTTGTTGGAGGAAATGGGGAATTCCTGCTAGCACAGCAAAGCAGGGAGCAGGAATTGTGTATACCCACACATGGAGCCGGGGCAGTGACATGTGCAGTGTGTCAGCAAATGTACACCCCACTGAATTACTCCTCTTCTGTCAAACCTTCATCACATTGGAGGTGTTTCGTGAGGTGCTGGAAAGAGGCAGGGCTGCTAACTCATTGTGAAGCTCCAGCTGAGCCTGGAATTCCACTGTGAGGTGTTACACTACCTTTCTGATCCTTGATGCTGGGGAAGAAGCAGCTAGGCATGGTGCATAACAACCCTGCTGCCTGTGCCATCTTCTAGTGCACATGTTCTTTTCTAGCACAACATATGTTTTTCTAGTGCTCTTTTGTGGTGTTTCTGTTCACTTGGTCTGCAGCCGTTCGTTTAGATTTTAGTGCTCTTCACACCAAGATCAAAAGCTGATGGAGGGGGAGTGTTCCACTTGTAACCAGACAGATCTGAACAGTCTGCGTCTTGTTTTAAGAACAGAATTGCTTCGACCTCTCTTGCTTAAATCTCTGAAGTCCTCTTGCAGGAGCTCCCAGGTCCTGGTTATCCCAGGAGTAAGATCATGTTGGGCAACCTATTTAAACTCTTGGTTTATTTATTTCTTGTTATTCCTCAGGGGCAAAATTTCACCCCAGAGGATGTGTCTGAGTTACAGTAAGTGTATTTGGTGTGGAAATGCCTGATCCTAACTTGGGAAGGTAAACACCAGCAGGTCTGCATTGGCCACTGCGTTATCAGGGCTGTAGTGCTTATGATTTACTACTTGAAATCTGAAAGACTTGTATCTAGGATTAACAAGCTACTTGGAAACAGGAGATACTGCTAGTATCTTATCTTGTGTTTGAATATATCTCACGTTCAGTGTATCTGGCAGTGAACTGATCCAAGTTTCAAGTGGTGCATTTCCTGAATGCACCTGATGGATTAGTATGGATACTTTCTGCAGCCCTCTTCCCTTTATAATGGTAATGGCATAGTCTTGAGGCTGTTTATGGCTCTAATCCCACTGAAGGTCTGTAAGAAGTGGGTACCCAGTGCTTTATCCTTCAGGAAATCACAGCCTAGGGGCAATATTCACAAAGGAGTTGCTTTGTTGCACTGGATTTTGCTTTTCAGCAGCACTCCCGAGATGATCTACAGCCTGCATCAGTAGGGTGGGTTTGCCTTCATAATGGGTTCTGCATCACTGAGACCTCCTCCCGGAGCAGGGAAACACTAAAGAACAAATATCCACATGTTTTCTAAACGTCTCCTGTCAACATCCCCACCTGAAAGAAAGAAGCTTTAATTACCAAGTTAATAGGGAAGCTCATGTTATTTTCCCCTTTGGTGTTTCCTCTGTCACTCTTGCTTTGGTGATAAGAGTTTGAATAATGCAGCTGGCTCCATGTGGTGCTGCAGAACTGTTTTGTCTTCAGGCAGTTCCTTTTTGACAGTGTGTGTTTGTGCCTTCTCACATTCATGGAGTAATATACTCTTAGGAGTAATATACTATATCCTCAAGGCCAGTCCCCTCATATCCTGTTCCCTTTCCTTCTGCATCCCCTTTTTTACCAGCTACCATCTGTGTGATGCTTACATTAGAATTAGTCCTTGATATATTAACCAGTTATGGTTGGAATCTCTTATAAAGGGCTTGTTCTTTGCAGCTAAAAAGAGAGGGAAGCTGACACCTAGTTGCCTCTTAGTGAAAGGTAATAATCTGTGTAATTATTTGAGCATTTATTTAATTAAGACCTTATAATCATGTTATTTAAAGAGACTTAGATGGCTAATTGGGATTGGTAATAGCATATATACCTTTCTCACTTCTAGGTCACTAGTTGAAGTCTGACTTCTGTTGGCAATGGCCAGAAACCTCCTTCTCCACTCTTAATGCTTTATAATAAGAACCAACCACTTTATCTAGCAGGTGAAGCTGAATTGGAACTGGAACTGCTACTTGGGAATGAGCACATTCTGTTTGCAGAGATAAATGAGAAGGAATCTTGGCTCGGTGCGTGCTGTTTGGTTTTCTATAGTGGTACTTTACCCAGTGGCTGGTTCTCCTCTCCTAGGAGTTCAGTTGCATTTAGGTATGTTAATAGTTTTAATCTCAGTTGTGCAAATTGGGTCTTATCCTGCCTTTCTGGGAGGCACTTCAGCCTTTTTACACACAGGAAAGTAGGTAGTAGCCTGAAAGTAAGTGGGTAGAATCAAGCCTTAGTTAAACATCACATCCTCTGTCAGGTTACAATGAGCTGCAAACCAGAAGGGTGGGGATAAGGAGAGAGCCTCATGCTTCTGCCTCTTCTCTGTTTATCTGCTGATGGAAGTGTCACAGAAGGCACACTGAATGGAGATGGTCTTTATGTCCTGAATTTATTGGAAGTGAGGCTGAGTATAATCAGCCTCTCGTGTGCCATGACCATGCCTTTGATCCATTATCCAGGAGCATCCCTATTAATCACTGAGGATGCTGATAGGAAATAGAAATAATACGTGCTGGCATTAGTTGTTACATGAAGAATTTGCACCCTGCCTTGGGACAGGACTGGAATATGTAATGATTCCTGAGCTCAGGAGGCTGTGTGGAGATGCTCGGTGTTTGTAATGAGAAGATTGAACTGTTGCAGCATATCTCCAGTTGCTTATTTCCATGTAAGTGCTGTGTTTTGGGTTCCTGCTGCCCTGCTTGCCAGGCACCTGCAGCTTCCACGAGTGTGAACGGTAGTGTCAGAGGAGTTTTGAAGGTGCTGGTTACAACAGTGTGGTTGTATAGAGGTTCTCAGGTCAGTATGAATTGCAGAAGAGTGCACACTGCACATACACACCATGGCATGATTGGAAAATGACTTCTTCTATCTGCAGCTCTATGTTAAGAGAACATGAAGAGACATAATGGGCACAAGAGACACAAGTATGCTGAACATCAGGGATCTAGTCCTCCTCTTGATCTGTGTGGCTGTTGAGATTCAATGGATTTTGGGTTTAGTTCGCTTAATAGAGGTGGCAGCAGCTCTGAGATTTGGTGCTTGGTCCAGCCCAGACTGTGAATTTTCAGGCTTTTGAAGCTCTTTGTACACAAAGTTACAGGATTGAGCTGTCATACTGTTAAGTTTCACCTTCTGCTGTTTAGTTCTGCCATGGCAAACCCAAACTGGGGGTGCAAAGTGGGCACATACATGTTTGGGCAACTTGGAGAAGGCCATAGTGACAAGTCACAAGAAGAAGTGCACTCCCTGCCTGGTGTGCCTGTTTGTTCTGGGATGAGAAACATGTAGTGGTTCTTGCAGGAATTCTGTGCATATGATCTCATGTTGAGATGGAATTTAACCTGATTTCATGGAAGTTTGGCAGGAATCCATGCAACTGGGCACTAAGCACTTCCCTTCCTCTCGGATCTCGCAGCATTTAGCAAAGCAGTGGCTCAGCATCTTGTAGCAGAGCTTACAAGTGTGTGTAATTCTCTTCTTTCTCTTGACAGCTGGTCCTGGCTGAAAGCTCCCACTCTGACACTGGCTCCCAGTGCACCGAGAGCCACACAGACCTTCCTCCTCCCATCGAGAGAACCGGTGGCATTGGAGACTCCCGACCTCCCTCTTTCCAGTAAGAGCAACTTATCATCTCGATTTCATTTCATTTTAAACCCAAAAATGCAATTCCTGCCTGTTTCTTCCCCACGTTCCTCCTTGCTGCTGCAAACCAGGTAGTTATTGTTACTGTGTACTTATTAGAACTGAGGAGTTAAAAAGGGGGATGGAAAAATCCCCAACCTGGCATTGTTAGAATGAAATACATAGATCTCATTTTGAAGACCACTGTGGAAGAATTAAATAGAGGGAGCCCAAAATGCTTTTTGTAGTGTACAGATGATAACTTCTAATTACTGTGTTACGTGTAATGATGTATTATGCAGAGCCAGCACAACACTGATCTCAAAAGAAAGCATTTACATAAGGAATAATGCTTCTTCCATGTGCAGCTTGACCTGCAGATAGCTAGACTGGGAGTCATCTGATGTAATGGTAGCCTTCTCGTTTCCTGGTATGTGTGCAGAGCCAATGTATATCCTTGGAATACCTTCCTTTTCAAGGAGACCCTCTGAATTTACACATGGAGGATTGATTTAAAGCAGGACCTGATTCTAGCTGTGATCTTAGTATATGTTTGGAGAAGGAAACACAGTCTTGATTTGCCTGGTGGCAAGTGTATCCATTGCTTTCTGGGCTCTCTATTGCCTGGAAGAGCTCTTAGTGTTGTGTTATGAGTCTTTCCCAGATAAATGCCTTGTAGAGGGGACAGGAAATCTTGGGAAATACTATCCCTGCCGAACACTTTGTCTTGCAAGGGCTTTACTGCCCTCCTGCGTTCAGCAACTGCTTTCTGCTGCCTGGGAGAGGCCTGTGAGTGCTGTCACGTGCCTGCAAACATAACTAGTTCTTTGTCTCCCTGCCCTATACCTGCATTAACAGCTGCAAAATCAAGCTTCAGTTAGAACTGTCATTGCATGGTCAGGTGGGCACCAGCCTGTGTTTGTGGAGCACTCGCTGCTACCAGCGGAGGCGCTCAGGCTGCTGGAATTGAAGCTGTACTCTGCTCCTGCACCTGCTCCTCCCCAGCATTCCCAAGGTCTTGTCTGTATCCCCATGGCATCAGTCAGTGCTGCAGGTGATGGTCTCTTCTTAGAACACAGCAAGCCTGGGACTCCTCAAGGGGTGAAGTGACTTACATAGGTCGTGCTGAGTCAGGAGCAGCAGCATGGGAGGTTGTGCTTTCTGACTTGTGGTCTCATTCCTAGATAAACCACCTTCCTTCCTTCCTTCTCTCTTCTCCACCCTGTTTTTCTTCCTTGTTTTGAGTGGAGAATCTGCCTTGAGGGAGGTCTGCTCTAAAACTTGTTGTCCCTTAATGCCTTTTTGGTCCTTCCCAGTTGAATGTCTTCATGTTTCGCAGTGGGTTTTAGCTGTTGTGGTTTAGTTTTTCATTCCAGAACAGAACCTAATGATCAGCCAAGGTTATTCCCATAACACAGGGCAGAGGCTCTCAGTTATTCTGCGTGAAGCCCTTTGTTCTGCTTTGCTATTAGAATTTCACACCTGCCCTAGGTTTGAAGATTCCAAGTGGTAAAGAACCCGCTGTCTTTTGAAATGAGTTGCTTCTTTTGGATTAACTAAATAAGTTGAGCTGCTCAAGCCTTTTCCTTGTGCAACCCCATAACTTTACCAGCTGTAACTTCAGGATTGCTGTATGCTCACACGTTACCTCCCCTTCTGTCAGTGTGATTTACCTTCTTGGCTCCTAAATCCCTGAGGTGTTTTTAAATGCTGTTTAAACTACCAGAGATCTGTCATCTCCTGTCCTTCTCCTTCAGTGTTGATTGGGGGCTTATTTATAGAAGAAGCTCCAGCTGAGCTGGGTGTTGTGTGATTGTACAAACAGAAATGTTGCTGGACAACAAGGAATACATGAAACAGGTGAAGCAGACAGGTCACAGGTAACACCATCCAGGGGAATGAGATCCTTATCCAAGGTTAAGGAGTAATCTCAACTACCTGCCTTGACAGCACCGATGATTTCCTTCATCATTGATTAAATCCAAGGAATTTTTCCCTTCCCAATGAGGCTTCTGAAGCTCATCCTGTATTTCATGCTCCGCTGCTTCTGTTTAGTGGTTGCCAAATCCATGTTCATCCAAATGGGTGAGGCTGCTCCTGGTTTAGTGGTGGAGGCCCATGAGTGAGTTGAGGAGTGTGACCTCCCAGCTCTTTCCTACAAAGCTCTTGGGAATGTGCACTGAAATCGAATTGAGTTTAGTTGTCTCAGCAAGGAGAGGGGAAACGAGGGAGCTGTGAGGTTCCTTTGCACCCTTTGTTAGGGTATAAACCACCTTCGGGAGGCGGGTTTAGCCTAGGAGGCAGCGGGCAGTATCAGCAGGAGTCACCAGATGGTGCTGCTGAGATGTCTGAGAGCCTGGCAGGGTGACCTTAGGGAGCTGTCACCCTCTTCCCCCCTTCAGCTGGACTGGACTGAAACAAGAAATGCACTTTTGACAACACTTGTGGGTTTGTAGCTTCATTTGGGCTTCAAATATCCAGTCAAATGTTCTTAATGACAACCTCGATTTCCTAATTGCTGTGGTGGTCATGTCAGTGCATCTCATCAATGCAAAGGAAGAGTGTGGGGGGGTGAAGGCTTTTCAGCACCTCTGGAACATAACACTGTACAGATGTGCTTACACATACACCAGTTCTGGGTCCAGCTTCCACAGAAGCCCATGGGACCAGCTGGCAGTGTAATTCCCTGTGTAAAACTGTGTGGCAGCGTATTCCAGCCTCATGGAGCTCTAGGACAAATACATTAATGGCTCTGGTGCTTTGGTGTAACTATAATGTGCCATTCCCTTTTAAATGGGAAGAGTATGGCCAGTAACTTTATAGAGGAACTCTTTCACAGCAGAGCATTAGCCCACGTCAGATCATGCACTGTTATAGATTCAGGAGCTTTAAATCAATTTCCACTCTTCAGTCCATTAAAATGAGCTGTGGCCTTTGCCAGCACTGTAAGAGGCTTTTCTTGTTTCCTTTAAGGTAGCTTACTCAATGTCAAAACAGCAGAGATACATAAAACAGATTGAGCCTGAGGGGAAGACTAAA